CACACACACACACACACACACATATATATATATATATATATATATATATATAAATAGTGGATTTAATTTAAGGTTTAAATTACAACAGTAATTGTTTTATATTAAAAAAAAAAAGACTTTATGTCGAACCTGACTTTAATACTTTTTCACCCAGGACCCACTCAATATTGTAGCCAACATCAACAGAACATTTCAGTTGGAAACTGTTGCTATCACAGAGAATATAGTGGTCCTTTTCACCCACATTAATATTGGGGCGTTTTTTAATAGCAATGTTTTGCCATTGAATGTACGGTACATTGCCTTGTATGATGCATGAGTATCGACCTGCATGTAGAGGGAAAAAACAAAAAAAGAAAAATCAAAAGAAAAATACTTTTTTTTTTTCATTTTATAAAACAAACCCACTACTTTCAGTTTAAGAAACATTTATATTTATATTCATACTTACTATTTATGTATATATTTATTTGCTGTCAAAATAATACTTTGTAAATGTTGACATTCACACACTGTCAGTGTAGCTTAATTTTCATTGGTTGATTGGTTCATCATCTCTGCCATATCTGGTATACACTCTAAAAAACATGGTTCTTTAAAGTTTTTTTTTTTTACGCCTAGTAGCAGTTCTATTTAGGATAATATCAGCCTGAAAAAAAAAACTTCACCTCTATTCCACATCCAGCTCACTATTGATTTTCTGGTGCTCAACCATCCAACTACACAGACTGTCAACACACACTCAACGGGTAAATAATTTCTACCAAATAATGTCTTTTTCTCTTTCTCTTAGTTTTTTTTTTAACAGAACATGTAAATGTGACCAACTCTGTTCAGTTAAGGACACTTCTCTCCTCTTCTCCACTAGGTAACAGAGATATTGAATTTATTATCCATATTGTTAAGGTTGTTTTAATTATTACTTGGGTTTATGCATAAACATACCCAGTCACAAAAACATTAAAGCTATCCAATGACTTCACATCACTTTTCTATTTTAAAATTGTGAAGGGCTCACATACTGTCCATTTTTGCTACTTTTGGCCTTCATAAATTGTTTTTACATAAACAAATAAAAGAGACACACTGTAACTCTAAGCTCAGTTGTGTTTGTCAGATGCTGTCTTGTTCCACAACCTCATCATCTGCAGAGAGAAAGTGCAACTCACAGTGTGTTTCCATCACCCTGTGAATATATTTGATTAATTTTGAAGTAGTACAACAGAAACAAGTGCTGGAAACACCAAATTTTTTTGGGGAAAAAAATATTTGAATTCGCAAAAAAGTTTTTATGCTCACTTGAGGTGGTTTTTCACTAGTGCGAAAAAGTGTTAATGCGAATAAGGGGAGATGGAAATGCATTTTGCGAATAAATTCCTCCATGTTCATCAAAAAAGTAATGTGACTGCGCTATGGGCCAGCATTACCTGACAAACCAGCAGACCAATAATAAAAAAAGTATTTTTATAATTGCCTCCCAGAACTATCTTAAACGACTGTGTTTATTAATTATGGTTCCCTTTCAGTCGGTCACTCCCGACGTCACGTCGGATGACTGACGAATTGGGATCTCGCTTAGAGGGACCAATCTACTTCGAGTGTAAACTAAACGAGCCAATGCACATTGGCATGCGATTATTGCATCCAGCTGCTGCTGATCATAGCGTGAGTATAAGTAGGCAGCAGATGCAGCGCATATTCAGCTTTTCGCTTGAGCGTCCGGTGCCAGGCCTTCACTCGTTGAATCCTCGAGAACCGGTAGAAGGCTGGGTTCCATATGTAAGACCTAAGTGGATCCCATATGCGTAAAGTCCACGGTATAGCCTTCAGCCCGTATTTCCCCGGCAGACTTCTGCCATTCCAAAGAGGGTTCAATCACTTCCATTCTTCCATATGCACCTAAGGGATGTCCATATGTGTATTGCTTCCGATCTAAGCGAGATCCCAATTCGTCGGTCATCCGACGTGACGTCTCCGTTCCCTCCTTCAGGGAACGAGGGTTACCACATGTAACCGAGACGATTTGAAGGCATCAGGATTGTGAAGATACTTCACTGGAAGTAGGTCTTCAAAAATAAAAGTATCTAAATGGCACAACATGTTGTTGTTGTTGTTTAGTCTAAAACCATAATAGAGGCGACAACATATGACAAGACCAGTATTGTTACAAACCAGAGAACCCTAATATGATACTGTTTAGAACCATTTTCTTAAGAGTGCAGTATTATCGTATGCTATAGTATATCAGTACTGATACACTAAAATAAACACTTAAATATCATAGACAATACAAGAATAAATCTCATGTCACTCACCACTGTCACTTTCACTTGCGTTTTTTACAGTGAGAGTTGTGTTGTCATTTGAAATTAAGTATCTTGTGTCACCTAGTGCAGGATCTTTGTTATCCACTGTCCATTTTATTTGTCCCTTTGCAAAGTCTGGCTGTCTACAGTTCAGGTCCACCTTTTGCAGAGGATATAACTGATCTGTTGTTAGGACCGTTTGATCTGTAAATAAAAACCATACAGCTCAAATATCCCAACAGTGAACAAAAAACAATGCATTTGATGAAATGTAAAGAGTTTTAGATTAGGCACTGACTACCCTTACCACTTAGAGTAAAATCATCTTTAGCTAAAATTAATCCTTGTGTTCTTAGAGAGTCAGAAACCTGTGTGTTTGCTGCTTCAAAATCAAGGCTGTTGGATGTTGCACTTATTGTGTAGTCTGCTATAACACTACCAGGCCTAGAGTGAAACACAAACCACATCAGTGTGAAGGCTCTGTATTAACATTATATTTGTTTGAAAAAGTATGAATAAATGGAAAAGTTTTGCCAAAAAAGTTTCAATTGTAAATCATACCTGAAGCCAGTGACTTTAACAGAACCAACCTTGTAGCCAGTTAGCTTATTAGAATAACTTGTGTCAATCTGTAAAAAGCAAAAGGTGTGCGTGAAAATTTTATAGAATATAAATTTGATTGTATTTATAGTATTTAAACAATATAATCAAAAATCAACAAATTACACAAATAATATATTTCTTTAAAATATGAAACATGTAATACTCACTACTGACTCAATTTGTCCAGATAAAACTTTGTAAGTCATGCTATTACGGTCAGTAAGACTGATGTCAAATGTCCGAGATATTTTCAGTGACATTCCAATAACTGTAAAAGAAGTGTACATTTATGTGTATTGTAACAACAGTTTTAAGCAACAATCCTCAATACTAATACTACCTAGTTGCTGGGAGTAGACGAAATGAACCCACCCCCAACCCCCCAAAAATATTACTTGTTATTATTGACATGCCTTGTACCCCAATTTGTAACTGTGCTACTAAACTGTTACACAAAATATTTTTGTGCAATATTTTAAATTTAGTTTCACAATACTTACCTGTCTGTGCGGATGCTGTCGCTGAGGCTGTTGAATATTACAGTACAAAAAAATTAGTAAAACCAAAATATGAATTTCATTTTTTTACTGAATGAAACCAAACTTAAAAGTAAAAAAAAACAAAGGGTTTATGGATCTATATTTGTTTCCCTAAACATGCAAAGCAATAAATTCATTCACTTATTTCATGAATCTATTTATTTTTAGAAGCCAAAAAGTCTAAAATAAACTTACTCACTCTGTGTCAAAATACAGATTGTTACTGACTGTAAACACCACCAACAATAACACAAGAATTAAGCAAGAGTTATCTGTACTAATACTAATCTTCACCATCATCACATGATTTATCTCAGATTTTTTTTACTGGGCATACCTATTGTTTTCATAATTGTTCTTGTTGTTGATGGTTGTATTGATGGTGTTGGTGTTGATGGCGTAGATGTTGATGGCTTAGATGTCGATTGTGTTGATTTTGATGGTGTTAATGGCTTGGATGTTGATTGCGATGATTTTGATGGTGTTGATGGCATATATATTGATTGTGTTGTGTTTGATGGTGATGATGCCGTATATTTTGATTGTGTTGAGTTTGATGGTGTTGTTGGCGTATATTTTGATTGTGTTGAGTTTGATGGTGTTGATTGCGTATATTTTGATTGTGTTTGATCGTGTGATGGCGCAGATGTTGATTGTGCTGCTGTTGATTGTGATGGTGTAGATGTTGATTGTGCTGCTGTTGATTGTGATGGTGTAGATGTTAATTGTGTTGCTATTGATGATGGTGTAGATGTTGATGATGATGGTGATTCTGTTGATGGTGTAGATTTTGATTGTGTTGCTGTTGATGATGATAGTGATTTAGTTGATGGTGTTAGCATTGATGGTGATGGTGTTGCTGTTGATGATGATGGTGATTCTGTTGGTGGTGTTGGCGTTGGTGGTGTTGCTGTTGATGATGATTCTGTTGATGATGCCGGCATTGCTGTTGATGATGATGTTGATTCTGTTGATGGTGTTAGCGTTGATGGTGATGGCACTTCTGATGATGGTGTATGTCTTGATTGTGTTGCTGTTGATGATGATGGTGATTCTGTTGATGGTGTTAGCATTGATGGTGATGGCATTGCTGTTGATGGTGATTCTGTTGATGGTGTAGATGTTGATTGTGTTGCTGTTGAAGATGTTGATGATTCTGTTGATGGTGTTTGCGTTGATGTCATTGCTGTTGATGGTGTAAATGTTGATTGTGTTGCTGTTGATGATGGTGATTCTGTTGTTGGTGATGGCGTAGATGTCGATTGTGTTACTGTTGATGGTGATTCTGTTGATAGTGTTCGTGTTGATGGTGATGGCAGTGCTTTTGATGATGATGTTGATTCTGTTGATGATGGTGCATATGTTAATTGTGTTGCTGTTGATTCTGTTGATGGTGATGGCACAGATGTCGATTGCGTTACTGTTGATGATGATGGTGATTCTCTTGATGGTGTAGATGTTGATTGTGTTACTGTTGATGATGATGGTGATTCTGTTGATGGTGAATATTGTGATTGTGTTGCTGTTGATTCTGTTGATGGTGATGGCATAGATGTCGATTGTGTTACTGTTGATGATGATGGTGATTCTGTTGATGGTGTAGATGTTGATTGTGTTGCTGTTGATGATGATGGTGATTCTGTTGATGGTGATGGCATAGATGTCGATTGTGTTACTGTTGATGATGATGGTGATTCTGTTGATGGTGTATATGTTGATTGTGTTACTGTTGATGATGATGATGGTGATTCTGTTGATAATGTTAGTGATGATGGAATTGCTGATGATAGTGATTCTGTTAATGGTGAATATTTTGATTGTGTTGCTGTTGATGGTGATTCTGTTGATGGTGATGGCATAGATGTCGTTTGCATTACTGTTGATAGTGATTCTGTTGATGGTGTAGATGTTGATTGTGTTGCTGTTGATGGTGATTCTGTTGATGGTGTTAGTGTTGATGGTGATGGCATTGCTGGTGATTCTGTTGCTGTTGATGATGATTCTGTTGATGGTGTTAGCGTTGATGGTGATGGCATTGCTGTTGATTCTGTTGATGGTGATGGCATAGATGTTGATTGTGTTACTGTTGATGATGATGGTGATTCTGTTGATGGTGTAGATGTTGATTGTGTTGCTGTTGATGATGATTCTGTTGATGGTGTTAGCGTTGATGGTGATGGCATTGCTGATGATGGTGATTCTGTTGGTGGTGTAAGTGTTGATGGTGATGGCGTAGATGTCGATTGTGTTAATGTTGATGACGGTGATTCTGTTGATGGTGTTAGCATTGATGGTGATGGTGTAGATGTTAATTCTGTTACTGTTGATGATGGTGATTCTGTTGATGGTGTTACCATTGATGGTGATGGTGATGGCGTTGCTGTTGCTGTTGATGATGATGGTGATTCTGTTGATGGTGAAGACATTGATTGTGTTGCTGTTGATAGTGATTCTGTTGATGGTGGAGTAATTGATTGTGTTGATAATGTTGTTGATGATATTGATGGTTTTGTTGTTGATAGTGATTCTGTTGATACTGATTGTGTTGGAGATTCTGTTAATGGTGCTGTTGGTGGTGGTACTGTTGGAAAAAAATGGACATGACTGGGTTTGACATGCAGCATTTATTTCTGTGCCTGTAAACTCTTTAAATCCTGTAAAATCTTTATAAAGATACTACCAAAACACTTAATACACGTCAAATCAAGTCATTCTTCCATAACACTAGCAAAGTTTGTTACCCAAAAAACACACTTTGTCATTCATGAAACAATGACCTAAAACACAAGCAACAGGTAGAATTATACGTTTTCTTTTGTAAAATATTTTTACAAAACAAGAACTAGTTTATGAAATTGCTGTTGTGATGTGGACTTCAGGATTCAAAGGGATAGTTTAGCAAAAAAAAAAAATCCATCATCATTTACTTATGCTCATGTCATTCCAAACCTGTATGACTTTCTGTGGATCATAAGACATATTCAGAGAAATGGTTTATTTATTTATTTTTTATTTATTAATGTTTTTTTTGGTCCATGCAATGGAAGTCAGTGATAACCAAGACGGTTTGGTTACCAACATTCTTCAAAATATCTTCCTTTAAGTTCCACAGAAGACAGAAAGTCATACAGGTTTGGAATGACTTGAGGGTGAGTAAATGATGACTGATAATACATTTTTGGGCGAACTATCCATTTAAGTTAAATGTGTTTACGTACCTGTTGCTGGTTGCGCACATGTTATGTTATCACCTGGAACAAGATGAGCGTTGATTAAAAATAATTTGTATACATTTCAAAAGTATCTGACCTACAGGTCTTTTATGTGATTACAAACAGAAAATGTATAAAATTATTTTACTTGTTATCTCGTTGACTCTTTGACAGAACTGTCTGTCACTTGGAATATCATTGATGCAGCTGCATGTGTTGTTAGTGATGCTGTCACAGCTCCCATATTCTTTGCATTTATCACACGGCCAGAAATACTGGTCCTCACATACACACTTGTATCCACTGTCATTGAAATTGCACACTAAGAAAGGATACAGTGCAAATGTAACCTCATATTTAACAGATTAGCACTACTGTATTTGTGTTCAGAATGTAATGTGATATTCTTCACCTGTCGTGATGTCCACATCTAATACTTCAACCACCTCATCTAATTGAAGTGGAAAAGTGATGTTCTGCAGATATCGCCTCATCTCATCGATCACAGAGATGCTTGTTGATTCCAACTCAATTTCAGAGAAGATGTCTGTGAAGGACAGTTCTGTGACAGAATCAACAAGCTTACAAACACTGTAAAGGCATTGTTTTCATTGTATTTTTTCATTACAATGTATTTCTACCACAATATATACGTTTATATAATTAATTATATTAACAACAGCAATGAGTAAATATATCAAGAAATAGCAGCCTACATTGTTCACTATATTTGTCAGTTTATATGGGGGTTAATAACATTTTTTTAATTTTTATATTAAATAATGTTCAAATTATGATTCATAATTTTTATTTAAAAAATGTTTAAAAGTAAGTATATGGCTGTTAAATATAATATCGATTTTCACTGTAAATATGCAAAATCATACTTTTTTTTTATAAAAAAAGTGATTATAAAATTACCTGTTAATTTTAATATATTTTTACTGTATACGTTATGGTAACTTACAGTTAACCAATTGACATTTTTTTACTGTAGTATTTTAACATTATTTTTCTTTTTGAGTGCATTTGCTGCTGGCTTGTTTGGTCATCATTCTTACCGTTCTCCTGCACACACATTTCTCCATCACTGGGAATATGACTGATACATCCACATGAGCCAAAACTGATGTCGCCACAGGCCTCATATGTCTGGCAGTTGTTGTATGACCATGCATAACCATCTTCACATACGCACTGGTATTCAGACACATTTGGTTGGCACACTGACATAAATATAACACACAGGTTAACAATAGAATGTTTACACAACATTAAAGATGAAACCTAAGCAGAAAGAATGACGGAAATAGCTTTTAAATACCAGTTTAACAGGTTCACCTGTTGTAATGTTTGCAGAAGTAATTTCAGTACTGTTGTCCATTTGAAAAGGAAACATGAAAAACGCCAATGATGTTTTGATCTGTTCAATCACCACAGCTTGGGATACATTCATTTCCACAACCGCAAAGTATTCCAATAGATCTATACATACAGGAAAATGAATGTGACTTTAATAATTATGCAGGCAGATAGTAAAGTACAAGACAAAACCCTTGACAGACAAAATCCCTCGCCCAAAAATGTAAAAGTATACTATGCTAATGTATCCTTTTTTATATGAATAACAGCACACTTTTATTAGAATAGTGTGTATGAGTAGAGGACAAACTGTGACACATTCAGTACCTGTGCTTCTTGGTCTTCTATGATGCAGTTGCCCATCTATGTAGCTAAACTGGAATAAAATAACAGAAATTCACATTTATTTTACATATAGAATTTTATCACATTAGTTAACTATGCGACCATATAGCTTCATACTATTAATTTTATGTTTTGTTGCTATAATCATAATTGTTACATATTTTAAATGCTTTTAATGGGTACAAAACATTTAATTCATAATATAAATGACTATCTTATTGACAGTTCTGAAAATGACAGAAATCTGTTGTTTTTCATATTGTATGAATTGCATTCATTCCTGTATTTGTTTCTATAGTAGTTCCCTACCTGTAACTCGATATTTGTTTCTGGGAAATCAGAATATGCATTCGCATATGCATTCCGTATTCCACAATCACAGGTCAGCAGGACAGCCATGATGATTCCTATGAAGTACTTTAATATTTGTCCTGTGTCTTAGGAATTGAGAAATTAAACATCAGGAAAAAATACTAGTAGTAGGAAAACAAAACATTCATTAACATTTAGTCCAGAAATTAAAGGTCACAGAAAATAAAATACATATGTGTACAGTGCTGCATGACTTCTTCTACAATGCAAATATCTAAACTTGTATCTACAGCCAACAACCGGTAAAACTTTTTTTGCATGTGTCTAATGGTGCAAAAAATTAGAACTGGCTGTCTTTGTCCATTGCATGAAATGCTTCAATGTGGACATCTCCACGTTTGCGTGTTACTGACAGGTTACTTTAGGTAAAAACTATAATTAACATTAAAATAACCTTAATTAATACCCATGTATCTACCCCGCTGCCATAGTTGTTAGAAATGATATGAAAGTAGTATGCAGGCATAACATTCTTCTTAAAACGTCAACACATTCTGTCCCATGTGACATCTGTATACTGTATGTTTATATTTACACTCATTTTTACCTATATGGTATTTTGCTATATGGTAGATTTTGTTATTTTCACTTGTTTGCACATTTGAATGATCATAACTTTAATTCATATTTTAGTATATTTGTTTAATGTTTTATAGTTTATGACAAGTTTTGGTATTATATGAAAAGTTTGCTTATTTGAAGATCAATACATAGACATCTGCACTAACCTTCTTTATTGATTAGTGATGGATAGAATAAATAAACATGGTTCACTAATCAGTAGTTTTTAGGAGTACTGATATTTTTACTTTACTATCACTAGTATTCTGACAAACTTCTTTACACGGTATTTAAAGGGATAGTTTGAATTTCTTTCTTCTGCTGAACACAAAATAAGATTTCAGTTGATGGTCCCCTTTGACTTCCATAGTACTTTATTTCTATATTATGGAAGTCAGACCATCAACTGTTTAGTTACCCACATTCTACAAAACATCATCTTTTGTGTTCAGCAGAAGCAATAAATTCATAAAGGTTTGGAACAGTTTGAGGGTGAGTAAATAATGACAATTTTTTGGTGAATGATCCATGTAAGTAGATGTTTTGACAGTTAACTTGAAGGACAGGGGTACGATAACAGGTGTAAAGAAAGACAGATAAAAGATACAGTAAGCCAAAAATACGTTTATTTGTAGTTTATTATACCTTGACTGGCCATGTTTCTCACTGATGTTTGTCAGTCAAAATCACTTCAATCTATTTCTATAGAAAAAAAAAACAATTATATGACTCATCCAGACACCTTACATCTGTAAAATAGGAAATTCATATAGAATCAGAGAACAATGATATGACTAAATTTATAAATGTATTAAAAAATAACAATAAAAAAATAAGAAAACAATTTTTTGAATGGCACATTTCAAAGTCAAGGTAAGAATGTATTTCTATGAACATACTTCAAAAAGGCAGTTTACAGCAGTTACACATTTAAAAGAATAAACACTCTTACCTTGCCTCTGGAAACAACCATGAAGAGATGCTGTGCTTTAGGGTGTGAGATCCACCTCTAACAATTTACTGGAATGAATGTGTCTTTATGCAGGTCACCAATTGTGTGTGTGTATCACCTGCTAGACAAGTCTGATTCCCTCTATTATGTTCTCTTGTGTGACCAGACAAGAGGGATGCATTTGAACAGAAACACTGTGGGTTACATGATCAAATCATATATTATTACATTTTATATATATAAATTGCTAAAAATTAAGATTTTAATGTCTAAAGTCATCTTGCTGTTACACATTTGTATATAAAAACTTTCATGGGCAGAGTATAATAACATGTAATTTTGTCATTGCATAACCGTATGAACACACCTAACAGCTTTTATTCAAAATCGGAATGGGAGTGTTTAAGATTTGTTACCATGATTCATCAGATTACTGTAAGTTCAGTGAACACTATTTATATCTAACACACACGTCACACACACACATTATATAATTTTATATATCGAATTAAGGGGTTATTTTCTGTTATACTGCAAACTTGTTTAAAGGTTCGCTCTATAAATGCAATAAGTATAACAAATTATATATGGCATTAATAAATTGCTATCAACAGACCATGAATAACCATGAATAACAATAAAGCTTGTATGAGCAGCAATATTACATGTTAAATATTAATGTAATTAATGTACGTCTATATATAATAAAGTTATGTTCCATCATTAACTGGACCATTGATAGAAATTTCAGTGCTCTCTGTTATTTTAACAGATGAAGAGCAGACCACAATAGCATAGCATTTATTGTCTTTTTCATACAGTGAAATATCAAGAAAATAGAAAATCATCAGGAGGAATTGAACACAGCGGACTGAAAAGAGCTCGACACAGATATTCTTGTGACGCCACATTAAAATACCAGACACTAAAAATAAAGCATTGACGGAAAACGTACAGCTCATTCAGTCAAACTGACGGATCAGGATTATTTGTAGCACAACCTTATTATTTGAAATTAATTGTTTCATTTCTTTTGAGTAGCATTTCTCTAAACCAGAAGTGTCACCTATATTTTAAAACGCAGCAGGCTTGTCGCAGCATTACTTAAAGTGGTGTGGTGTTTAAATAAAGACTGTAAATACAGTCTGTTCACAGGGGAAATGGTATAACAAGGTGTGTTTGAATTTTGAATATCCTAAAATCAACTTAAATACCTAAATTATAAGAAATGGATTTCACAGATAGCAGAGCAAAAATAAGTAGGCCTGCACTGACTGGCATGACAACACATCAAACACTGTACAAAAAAGTAACAATACGCAAGAACTCACAATGACAATGACAAATGGAAAGTATGTGCCCATCCCAAATGAGCAAGAAGGTTTGCCAAATATAAAAAAATAAAAGGGTAAGTGTATGTAAGTGAAGTGATGTATGTACACTGTAAAAAAATTCCGTAAAATTTACGGTAAAAAAACGGCAGCTGTGGTTGCTGGAATTTTACCGTAAAAAATATGGTATCAATGCTTTAGGTTTTACGGTTTTAACTTAAATTTACAGTTAAATACCATATTTTCATTAACTGATATAATGTTAATATACCAACCTATTGAAGTACTGAAATCTGTTTTGCACCTTTGTAATACACTGATAACCACCAAATGCAGGTGGTGATGAGAAAGTCACATGATGAACCAAAGCCCATCACAAGCAGCTTTTAAATAATAACATATATAGAAGGTGCACAGTGTCATTCACACAAACACCAAACACCATCATGGTAACACACATGAAACTGAAATAATGCAATAAACATTCATTTAACAATATTAGGTGTAACACACAACCCTAATATACAAAACTGATAAGAAAAAACTAAGAAGAAACATAGTTATTTCAACAAAAAAACATCAAATTTGAAATGTAATGCAGGGAATTCTGGGAATGTCAATTTACGGTTATTCACTGTAAATTATACTGTCTTTTTCACTTCCAAAAACGGTATACTACCGTAAAATTAATGTCCAATACAGTTTTTCACCATATATAGTAGGGGAATTTACCGTTAACCATTTAACAGGTTTTTACTGTAGCATTTTTACAGTCTTTTACCGTTAAATTCACGGTCATTTTTTACAGTGTAGGTAAGTGTATATGCAGTTGTTTTGTAATCAAATATTCAAGATTATGAATAGGTGACCAGATTTCTGAAAAAGAAACATTTCCTAGTTGAGTGGTCAAAATACCAATTAAACCTAGGTATTCTGTTATCCTTGTATTTTATTCCAGTCGTAATGAAATTGAAATTGTCCTCGAAAATGATTAAAAGTGTAGTATGCAGGTTCTGTGCTACTAATTTCTATGTCACAATACCATAAAGATGATAGTATACCAGCTGAAGTATCACAATACAATGCAGTGTTGTGTTAATTCATAATTCAAATCTACAAAATGAACCAAATTTTTATATATATAAATGTGTAGCGTCTGGACCAATCAAAAACACAATTTTTCATTTGATTTAACAAATCAGTTATTCATTAGATTAACAAGTCGTCACAGACCCCTCACCCAATAGACTGGGCGCCAGGATGTCTGCGAATGACC